AACACTGCATGGTTCAAAATTGGGGAGGGCATACGCCAGAGATGTGTCCTGTCCCCATACCTTTTCAACCTGTATGCAGAACAGATCTTCCAAGAGGCTGGGCTCTATGAGGAGGAGATACAGACTAGATAATAGAATTGTTTGACTGAAAACAATCCACTTTTTTAATATTTTGTTGTTGTTTTTAGGTGATATTGCGTCAAGTATGACTCATAGTGACTCTATGAACAACACATCGGATCCCTGTCCTATCCTGTGCCTTCCTCATCATTTCTGACACCCTTGTGTCCATTTCTGCAGTCACTGTGTCAGTTCATCTTGTTGAAGGTCTTTCTGTCTTTCACTGTCCCTCCACATTTCCAAGTATGATGTCCCTTTCCAGGGAATAGCGCCTCCTAACAACATGCTTAATGTTATGAGTTGAAGCTTGACCATCCTTGCCTCCAAAGAGCCTCCCTGATTGATGTGAAATTGCTGTCTGATGGACTGTCACTATACTGGCAATATTCCTGAGAGCACTTGATCTATTTCCTTCCTAATTTTTAACATTATCAACATTGAAGACTTTTGCCAATGTAATAGTCAAAACAGTGGCATATTATTTGTAGTTTCTAGGGAGATTGGTCATCCTGTCTTGAGTTGTCTTCCCAACCTTGCCCCCTCATGATGATGTTGTATACTACCATCAAGTTGATTCTGAACCACATTGACTCTCTATGACAGAGTACCAGAGGTGAATTTCCCTATTGGGATGCTAGCTTTTCAGGAACAGACTACTAGATCTTTTTCCTCATAGAGCTCCTGGTAAGTTTGAACCACATACCTTTTGTTTAGCAGCTGAGTGCTCAACCATTGTACTCCTTTACTGCCTGATCAACCAAAACCCAGATGTATTGCTGTCAAGTTGGTGCGAACTCCCTCCAATTCTGTTGTGTACTGTCGTGCCAGGATCAATTCATAGCTGACCTTCTAGCAGGTTTTCAGAGGCAGTCAACAACATTGGTCTTCTCATAGCAGCTAGTGGGTTTGAACTGCATACCTTTGTGCTGACAGGGCAACTCCTTACCCTAGAGTTCTAAGCCAGTAAGCTTCCCCATTGGGTTTTAAAGGGCTGTGATTTTTTTTGAATTCCTAATTTCAATGAAAATTTACAAAGACTTTGGATTCCCATGCATTCATTGTTGCACTTTTCTCCCTATCCACCCCCCCTCCCCTCCCCCCCACCAGTACACTCTTCTCTTTGAAAAGTAAAAGAAAAATTCTTTCATTGTTTTACAATGCCTCCCCCTAGGTCCACTCCACTAGGCAGCCTTCGTTCTGGGCTCCTGTTATGACAAAAATACCTAATTATATATCCCTTTTAAACAGTTTTCTCCCTCATCTTTTTCAATGCAGTATACATTATTTATTCCATCTTTTGAGTCTCCCCCCAACTCCAATGTCAGTCATGTTTTACAGCAGTGGCACTATGCAGTATTTGTCCTTTTGTGACCAAGATATTTCACTCAGCATAATGTCCTCCAGGATCACCCATTTTGAATTATTGCATGAGTTCCTTGTTTTTTTCAGTGCAGCATAGTATTCTGTTGTAGTATTCCATTGTGTGAATATATCACAGCTTCTCTATCCATTCATTTGTTGAGGGGCACTTAGGTTGTTTCCAACTCCTTGCTATTGTGAACAAAGCCACGATAAACATGGGTGTGCATATATCTGCTTGGGTGGCAGTTATGGTTTCTTTGGGGTATATTCCCAGTGGTGCCTTGCTGGGTCAAATGATATCTCTATTTGCAACTTTTGGAGATAGCGCCATACCGCCTTCCACAGTGGTTGCGCCATTTTACACTCCCACCAACAGTGAATAAGGGTTCCAGTTTCTCCATAACCTCACTAGCATTTGTTGCTTGCTGTTCCGTTAAATTTTGCTGTTCTGACTGGGTTGAGATGATATCTCATAGTGGTTTTGATTTGCATCTCTTAGAGCTAGAGAGTTTGAACATTTCTTCATGTGTTAGTTGGCCATCTGAATGTCTTCTTTAGTGAAATGTCTGTTCATATCCTGTGCCCATTTTTCAATTGGATTATTTGTCTTTATCTTTTTGTGATGTTCAAGTATTTTATATATTCTAGATATAACTCCCTTATCAGACATGTCATGACCAAATATTTTTTCCCAGTCTGTGATTTCTTTTTTTACCCTGTTGGAGAAGTTTTTGGATGTACATAGGGATTTGATTCTTAGAAGGTCCCATTCATTTGTTTTATCTTCTCTTGGTTGTAGATAGGGCTGTGAATTTTTATAGAAGGAGATTGCTCCTATTTTTCCCATAGAGCAGCTGGTGGATTTAAACTGCTTGCCTTTGGGTTGACAGCACAACTCTTTACCTCTTTGGCCACCAGAGCTATCTATATAGTGTACTAAGTTATCTGGTTTTTAAATGCATGGATATGGTATGTTTTTTAAATTATTTTATTAATTTTAATGAACATTTACAGAGATTTTGGGTTTTCATTGTTGCACTATTTTCTCTACCCTCCTCCCCAGTTCGTTCTTTTTTTTCCCCCAGATATGGTATGTTTGTGAGCAAAAAAGCAGTGGGAATGTATTTGAATGAAGCAATATGATTTTAGTGAAATGATTACATTTTAAGAACATAATTTTGAAATATTGCCAGGAAAGATTTGGAAATATCAAGCTTAATGCGTGCCTTCCTGGTAGTTCTGAAATAGTTTAGAAACTCTTTGAAGATCACCTTCCTCTCTGGTTATGCTAACAACCAGCACAGACTAGAACTCTCTTTCAGTGACAGACTCAGGAGCTCAACTGATACGGTTCAAACCCATGGCTACTGTAAGAGAGAGATAGACCATCTCCTCCCCTGTGGTTTATGGTTCAGATCTCCGAGCTGCTATGAGAGAGAAAGATGGGCAGTCTCCTCCCATGTGATTGACTTCCTCTGAAAACCTGCTAAAGGGTCAACTATGAGTCAGTTCTGACTTGACAGCAACAAGCGGAGAAGAGTTTGTGAATCACCAATTATGTCTTTTTACCTTAAAAGATGTCTGTGAAGCTTACAACTTGTAATATTGTTTTCTAGGTGTGAGTTTTTTCATTTCCTAAAAGAGACCTTTGCCTTAAACTCACCTCTTCCGTAAGACATTTTGGGAGCCATAAATGTGGCAAGATGACATTTTTTTTAGTCTTGAGGTACTCTTTTTTTTTTTTACCATGCAGCAGGCACCTCATTAGAGGTATGGAAGTAACCTCTGACCTATTGTTTATCACAGATCCCAGATTACAGGAATGCTGTAATTGTGGCCAAATCTCCAGCCTCGGCCAAGAGGTAAGTAGAGCTTGAAATTCCTCCTCAGGTCTGCGTCTGAGTGTTGGGTCCCTGGCTGAGTGCCGTCCATGTCTTCTATACATCTTGTGGATGTCTTCTTATTTTTCTGTCATTAAGTGTCTAGTTTACTGATTTCTGTATTTTTATAACTAATTATTGTGACATAGGTGAAAATGGAGCAGATTGGTTTTCCATCCAACAGTTTATACACATTTTGACTTGTGACATTGATTGCAAAACTCACAATGTAAAAACATTCTTTTTCACTTCAGTAAGATGGATTGCACAGTGGCTTCAAAATGGGCTTAAGCAGAGCAAAGCCCAAGAGGATGGCACTAGCTGGTAGTTTTTGTTCTGTGGTGCACAGAGTCACAGTGAGCTGAAACAGACTGGATAGCACTTGACAGCAGCAACAACCTCCTGCTTCTTACCTGTGTTTATGGTTTCTATTCATCCTTTTCCCCTTTGTGAGCTTATCCTTGTGCAGACGCTGTGCTTTGGCCTAATATGGTTTGTTGCCATAAGGACTACCACGCATTTTAAAACTTGTTTTGCCGAATCATTGTGTTACAGAATAGCTTATTTTTCTCATTTTCAATTCTAGTCTGATTGCTGATAATTTTTCTTGATCATAATCACTTAGGCATGGGAAATCAAAGTTATGGTTTTCTTCATTGTTCAAGGTTAACAACTGATGTTCATCTTCAAATTTGGTAATGTAAATACTAATAATTAAAATTTGGTAATTAAAATACTAGTTATAGTATTTTGCTATAAATATTTTGAAAAGTGTACCTTATCTCCATAGGAAGTGCTGGTGATCTAGTGGATAAGGAATTTCACTGCCAACTCAAAGACAGGCAGTTATAACCTACAAGCTGCTTTGCAAGAGAAAGATAGGCAATCTTCTCCTGTGTGATTTACAGCCTCTTAAAACCCACTGGAGGAGGGAGCTCTGGTGGACTAGTGGCAAGAAGCAGCATTGCAATCCCGAAGGTGTGCGATTCGAATCCACCAGATGCCCCGTTGGAGAAGGAGGGGCAATCTCCGGTGCCAGTTGGATCTCCTTTGATGCCATACAACAAAAAAAAAAGAAAAAGAAAAAGAAGCAAAACCCACTGGAGGAGTAAAACTCCCCCAAAAAACCCACTGGAGAGTCAGCTTTGAGTTTATTTCAACTCAATGGCCAAATAATAAAATATACTCATGTGCACTCTGTCCCTTTGCCCCCACCCCCCACCCCAGGTATGGAGAGCTATAGACAGTATCCTCTCTCTCTCTCTCTCTCTGTGTCTATCTATAAATAGATTGGCATCACCTAAAACAATATATATATGGAGCTCTGGTGGTACAATCCATAGGGAGCTGTGCTGCTAACCCAAAGGTGGCACCTTTGGTATTTCGAATCCACACATGTATATAAAATATACACACATAAATATGTATGTATTTTTAAATAAGATCTGTGATCTGTTTATATATATATATATATCCAAAATCCACTGCCATTTAGTTGGTTTAGTTGTAAATCTTAACAAGGAATGCCTGCTCAACTTTCTCAGAGTAGATTGTGGATTCATATTATTGACCTTTCAGTCGGCAGCTCATTATATTGCATGTGGGGGGGGGGGGTGTTGTATGTATGTGTCTGTGTGTGTATTCAAGTTCCATCCCTCAAAGGTGTCTTGAGACTATAGTTCTGTTTCTCATGTCCCAGCATTTTCATTCATTCTGAAAGTTTCCTCCCTGGTACTCTTATTTGTACTGCCTTTTAATCGTCTCATCTTTGCTTTAGAGTAACTGTTGACCTTATGATCTGGTAGAGATGATTTTTAAAATGGAACACTATACTCGTGGTTGAAATCCTTTATTTTATGTGCCGATCTATTATTTTGCTAGAAGATGTCCTGAGGGGAGAGTTTGGCTTACGATTTAAATAGTACACATGCCCTCGTTATCTGTGAGTTCTGCATCTTCATCATAGAGTGAAAATCCTTAAGGGGAATAAAAAAACAATTAAATGGCTGGAGCTTCTCTTGTAGGCTATGAAGACTTTCATACTTAATACCATGTAACTACTACAGAAAATTGTATTTAGGTAACCTTTACATTGTATTAGGTATCATTAGTGATCTCTGATTATTTAAGGTTGTTCATAGGCTCTTTTAAAGTATATTCCATTTTATGTATGGGCCTTGAGCATGTATGGATTTTGGTCTTTATGTGTGGGGAAGAGTCCTAGAACCAATTGCCCTTGAACATCAAAAGAGCTGTAACTCAAGGCAGTAGCCAACAGCGATTCATTTCGTCTCAGCTGGTCCAGTAAGTCTGGAATTTTAAGATTCTGGGTTCTGTTCCATATTGTTTTCCTATTCTGTCAAGATGCATTTATTGTAACCCTGATCTGATCTCAGGACTAATGACATGAGGCTTGTATAATCTGTTAGCTCAGTAGACTAGTTTCTTCTCTGAGACTGTGGTTTGCTTTCTTTCTCCTTTAATCCTAGTGAGCAGAGACCAACAGTTGTATATTAGATGGCTGCTCACAAGCGGTTAACATCCCAAAGAGTGCTTAACTCACTAAGCTTCAGAATGTGAACTTTGTGGACTGTTTTATTTCACTTGACTGAGTTTCCCCATTAGATTAAAGTCCTAAGCGTTCAAACTCAAAATTATTTCACAAGGTGTTGGGTTTATCAGGGAAATATCTGTAACCATGTCTTCTGTGAGTACATTAGCGTGTACACACACTTGTGCATACAGGTATGTTACATCATACACTCTGCAGCTGAAAGTTGGACAGTGAATAAGGATGATAGAAAAAAGAATCAATGCCTTTTTTCTTTCTTTCTTCTTCTTGTCAAATCAGATCCAACTGACACAGAGGAGATTGCCCCTCCTTCTCCAGAGGAGTATCTGGTGGATTCAAACTGTTCTCCTTTGGGATTGCAGTGCCATTAGGCCACCAGAGCTCCCTTGAATTGATGCCTTTGAATTGTGGTGTTAAAGAAGAGTGTTGAATATCCCATGGACTGCCAAAAGGACGAACAAATACGCCAAAGGTGCATCCTGGGTAAAAGTTCATCTTGACATACTTTGATCATGTTAGGAGGGGCCAGCCCTGGGTAAAAGATACTAAGCTTGGAAAAGTGGAAGGTCGTCAAAGGAAAGGAAGACCCTCAACAAGATGGATTGACACAGTGATTGTAATGGTGGGCGTGAGTATGTCAGATGATGAGGATAACACAGAATAAGTGAGAGTTCAGATCCATTGTTCATGATGTTGTTATGTGCCCTTGAGTTGCCTGTGAGACATAGTGACCCTATGTACAACAGCTCTGAAGCCTACCCTATCCTGAGCCAGTCTCTCTGCCTCCCAACACACCTGTTCCCATTGCCCTAATTAGTGTATCAGTCCATCTCATCTGGGATCTTCTTCTGTTGCACTGTCCCTTCATCCATCTAATTATGATGTCATTCTTCCAAGGATTGGTCCACATGCCCAAAGTATGTGAGACAGAGCTTCAAAATCCTAGCCTTAGGAGTGAACTGGGGGAAATGAGAGAGGGTGGCAGGGAGAAAAATGCAACACTGAGTGAGTGGAAATCCAGAATCTCTGTAAATGTTCAGTAAAAGGAATTAAAAAAAAATCCTAGCCTCCAAGGAGAAACTTGGTTTCACCGTCTCTAAGACAGACATATTTGTTTTCTTGGTGGTCCATGGTATATTCAAGGCTCTTCTCCAGCACCACATCCTAAAGGCATCGATTTTTCTTTTTGTCATCTTTAGTCCTTGTCCAGCTCTCTGATGCATACCAAGTAATGTGAAGATCATGGCCTGCATCAGGTGCACATTAGTCTCTAGACTGACATCATTGCTTCTGAGAACTTTGGAAAGGTCCCTAAGAGCAGATTTACCTAATACAATTCTTTTGATTTCGTGACTGCTGATGTCAAGAGCTGATTTTGGAGCCGAGCAAGCTGTAATTTAACAACCTCAATCTCTTCTCCATCCATCATGGTGCTGCCAGTTGGCCCAGTGGTGAGAATCTTTGTCTTCTTGATGTTATAAATCATAGTCAATTGGACAGCACTAAGCACTAAACAGCTACTCAGATGTTCTCTTACTGAAAATGAAGTATGAGGTTTATAGCTCTTAATTGGAGAACGTCTTCAACTCTGTCAATAAACTTTTTGGCTTTGTTATTTGATGGATGGATATTTATGATTTTGATTTTTTAATACATTATTTTATAACTATATATTATCTTTGCATTTTATGATAATTCTTTACTTACAAATGGTTTTGTCTGATATTAGCTATCAAGCCTTTTTTGACTAACTTACTTACATGGAATAATCCATGTTTGTACCCGTTCCAATAAGGAGTGATCAGACAGAGAGCAGAAATTATTAAACAATATAACATGCAAGTAAAATCTTTCTGAAGAATATTTTTTTAAATGCTACATACATAGTACATTAGCAGACAACTACTAGAAATTCAGGCTGGATTCAGAAGAAGCCATAGAATGAGGGATATAAGGGAGCTCTGGTGGTCTAGTGGCAAGAAGCTGCACTGCAATCCTGGAGGTATGCAGTTCTAATCTACCAGATGCTCTACTGGAGAAGGAGGGGCAGTCTCCTCCTGAACCAGTCAGATCCGATTTGACGGTACACAAAAAAATAATAAAAAATAAAATAAAAAAAAAAACAGAATGAGGGATATATCATTGCTGATGTCAGGTAGATCTTGGCTGAAACAGAATACCAGAAAACAAAGAGTTTTGAACATTTTGTGATCTGTCAAACAACAAACAAATCTCTCTTGGAGAAAGTGCAATTAAAGTGGTCCTTAGAGACAAGGATCTCACATACTTTGGGCATATTATCAGGAGGGGCCAGTCATTTGAAAAAGACATCATACTGGGAAAAGTAGAGAGCCAGACAAAGAGAAGATGTGAGAGAGATTGACACAGTGAGAGAGATTGACACAGTAAG